TTTCTTTCTCTTTTCTAATGGCTGTGGCTAATGTTTCCAGAACAATATTGAACAGGAGTGGTGATAGTGGGCTTGACTTACTTTCTTGTCTACCCTAAACCGTGCTCCAAAATATTAACAGCTGATTTGAGAAGAAACTAAAAAGTTCTAAGTAATTGTATCCTGTGACTCTTGTTCCTTCCCATTGTTGACTGGCTATGCTGGCCTGTTTATAATCAGTGCCAGTGGTCTCTTTTGCCTTCAGGAATACAAGCAAGGTGATGAATGTACATGAATCATTGCATATGTTTATTTACGTACACACACATAATATAATAATGTACATCACCTATACAAGTTAATTGCTACTTTTACATTTTACAAAATGAAATGTTTTTTGTAGGCTCATATTCTACTTGACTGTGGTGAAGACAATATCTGTAAACCCAAGCTGGAGGTTTCTGTAGATAGGTAAGTTTTACTCCAAACGATTTATATTATCATACAAAATTTAAATGGAAGAGCACCTTTTCCTAATGAAAGCATTAATATTTTAATGAGCATTAGTTATAGTGTTTTCACTAGTTGCGCTGCCTGACAGTTTTAGAACTATTCAGCTTTCAAGTAGTGTCACAAAGTAACATTGTATCATCTGAAAGATACATTTCATTGTAGACATACTCTTAACTCAAGGGATGTCCTTGCCATTTTATATGACATACGTTGGGAGGTTTATTGTGAAAATTTATGACAAGTAATTCAGCTGTTAGAAAAATTATCAGGGAATTAAAAAGTGCATAGAGATATAAAATTGCTACAGGAATATGAATAGTGGTGGCTTACTAATGGCCCCGGTGTTTTCTCTGTGGAAAGTAGAGTGAGATTTGCAGCAGCGCGCTATTTTCTGGTTTGCACTGAGGCGCGAAGAGGCTTTTCACACGCATCCTGGGACCACCGGGCGAGTCCGGCTGTCTCTGCCTTCACCCGCCCTTCGCTCCTCAGGCAGCCTTCGCTCACTGTCTGGATTTGTCTTCACTTCCAGTGATCAAAGGAAGATCTATATTGGGGACGACAACCCTCTGACATTGATCGTGAAGGCACAGAATCAAGGAGAAGGCGCCTACGAAGCCGAGCTCCTGGTGTCGCTGCCCCCGCAGGCCGACTTCATCGGGGTCGTGCGCAACAGCGAGGTGAGAAGTGGGAGTCTGCGCGCCTGCGCAGTCTGAGTAGCGGTGTGGAGCCGCTCCCCTGCTCAGCGAGCGTAAGCTTAGCTGGTCCTCCTGGGGCTAAGTGCGCAGACAGAAGCGTGCCTGTCGCACATGCTGCCTTTAAAGCCTAATCGCTAGCGTGATGCATTGATAGAGCGTTTTTAGAACAGCTAGCAGAGCGCCTGAAAATGAGGTCAGAGAGATAAAGCACCTAAGCCAGCCCATCACAGTGTTTGTGGGGCGCGCGCTGTGGCTGTGCGTCCGCGTCCCGTAGGGATCTTTCAGAAACATGTGCACCTGTGGATGAGGCCATTAACGCAGTTCTGGCTTCTCTCTTGCTGTTTGCTCAAATACATTTATTTGCTTCATAAAGAAACGTAAATAACTGCTTGATACTGTGTAGGAACTATGTTACAGTGGTCTCTGCTTTTCTGCCTGCTAATGTCCTTTTATATCCTTTTTCTTTGTCCCGCAAAGGCTTTAGCAAGACTCTCTTGTGCATTTAAAACAGAAAACCAAACCCGCCAGGTGGTGTGTGACCTAGGAAACCCCATGAAGGCCGGAACCCAAGTAAGGCGTTTTCAATGAATTCATTTCCTCCACACACAAATAGAATACCATATTTTTCTCTGGGTTTATTCATAGTAATTTTAAAAAACACTTCAAAATAATGTCTTTAAATTGGTTTTCAGGGGCCGGGGATTTAGCTCAGTGGTTCCACTGCCTGCCTCGCAAGTACAAGGTCCCAAGTTCGATCCCTGGTACCAAAAGAAAAAAAAATAAAAATAAATTGGTTTTCATTTAGAGTTTAATAATTAGCAGAGTTCTGTTAGTTTTAACCAAAATACTAAAATAAGCAATAAACTGCTCTTTATGCAGCTTTCTATTTGGTAAGTGGATAAGAACGTGGGTTAAGAACTGAAATTTTTTTTTTTTTTTGGTACCAGGGATCGAACTCGGGGCCTTGTGCTTGCGCAGCAGGCGACGAAGAACTGAAATTTTAACTTTGGCATTTTAAACTGTTGCTTTAGCCAGGTGCAATGACATGCACCTGTAATCCAAGTTCCTGGGGAAGCTGAAGCAGGAGGATCTCCAACTTGAGGCCAACCTGGGCAATATAGTGAGAATGCCTTGTAAAAAAAAAAGTTAAATTGATGGTTAAATGGATCATCAGAGGCCACTCTGGCAAATACCAGGACTGTTATTCTTTGTTGAGATGGAATAGGGTTTCGTCTTAACTCGAAACCCTACAGAGGACGTTCCACACAGAAGGCAGAGCTGCATGGGGCTCCATCCGGGTTGTTGGTGAGGCCGGGAGCACGGGAACTTGGGGAGAAGCACCAAACATCTCTTCTCAAATCCTTTGAAAAGGAAGCAGAATACAGCTTGTCTTTTCCCGGTGTCTGGGGGAAAATTACAGAATGTGTTGTGTCGATTTTATCATAAATTAGTTTGATGCCAGATTGATATCGGTAATGTGAAGATCTGCATTACACAGGGCTCCCACGCTTCTTTACGTGTGATTTTCAGTAGAAGCATCTTGGGGGAGAGGGCCTGGCGGAAGTGCATTGCCTTCTTCCCTTGCACTCAAAGTGCCCTGACGGCGGGGCGCCGGGTCCTAACCTGTCATCTTCCAGGCTCCCAGGGTGCCATTGTCTGGTCTCCCTCACCTCCCGGGAGCCCACTTTCCTGTGTGCAGTGGGTGAGACGCATGGCTCTGGCTCTGGCGCACCTCACCCCCTCCTCGGCCAGGCTCTTCTCTTCCTGCAACCTGCCCAGTTCCCCTTCCCAGCCCCTTGGGACAGTTCGGTTCTTAACTTCCTCCTACTGACTCCCTGTGCCTAACTGTTACACTTTACCTGGATCAGTAAACATCTGCTTTTACATCTTTTAGAAAGGCAGTTGATATCCTAGGATGGCGTAATTATGATTAATAACTTGTTAAATAGGCTAGTTTTGGATTAGTGTAAGTATGTTAAATAAAAAAGATTGAATAGAAAATCAGATGTACCCTGGCATGGTGGCAAAATTGTGATCTCAGTATTTGGGAGGCTGAGGTAGGTTGCAAGTTCAAGGCCAGCCTGGGCTACGTGAATTCAAGGCCAGCCAGAAAGCTATAGAGAGAACCTGCATTTAAAAACCACACCCCAGGCCAGGCATTTAGCTCTGTGGTTTTGCCGCCTGCTGCGCAAGCGCAAGGACCCAAGTTCGATCCCTGGCACCAAAAAAAAAAAAAACACCCCAAAAATCAGATTTAATTATCCTCTTTGACTTTTATTATAAACTCAGAAAAACTGTTTTGTTTTTTTTTTTAGAAAAACTGTTTTTTATAAGTTTTTTTTAATTTGGGCATTGGATTGGAAATGTGCAATTTCCAATTTCAAGTTAGTGACTAACGTTTCCATCTTTTTCTTTTGCCTTCAGCTCTTAGCTGGCCTTCGTTTCAGTGTACACCAGCAATCAGAAATGGATACTTCTGTGAAATTTGATTTACAGATCCAAAGGTGTGCAAATAACTTATATTAGCTTATGTAACTATTGAGCAAACATTAATAATATGTAATGTATTTTAAATATTATGGAATAATAGAGATTCAGACTTCAGTTCTTGATTATAGGATTCATGAAAATCAATATTTATATTATGAGAATAACTTGTCAACTTTGAGTTCATAAAACAAAGTTAAAAATTAGGAAATAAGGGCTGGGGATTTAGCTCAGTGGCACTGTGCCTGCCTTGCAAGCACAAGGTCCCAAGTTCAGTCCCTGGAACCAAAAAAAAAGTTAGGAAATAAAATTCAGTCATCTTGGAATTTAATTCTAATTAAAAGAATTGTTTTATTTATAAGGCTTTTATACCTTTGTTGCTTTGAATTTGCTTATTTTTAGTTTTGCTGGGTTTGCCTGTGTATGATTTTGATGCTAATTGTGCTCAATTCAGTCCTGAATATATATATTTTTCTTTTTCAGCTCTAATCTTTTTGACCGAGTGAGCCCAGTTGTATCTTACAGAGTTGACCTTGCCGTTCTGGCCGCTGTTGAGATAAGAGGGTCAGTGTGGTTACTAGGTTGGGTGCTTTGTAACTGTGTTGCCTTTGAAAGGTTACTGAGGCCCTGCCTTCCTTTGGACAGTGACACTCCATGGTTAGTGGTGATTTTACGAGGGCACTGGGTCTAGAAATAAGCTCCTTGATGTGTTTCAAAGCTCCAAATGGTTATTTGGTGATCTCCTGAAAAGGAACCAGATATGGCATTAAGTCTCAAGATATAAGTTCATTGAACTTTTACACACATTGACTTACCAATTTACCTGTCTGCAATAATAGCAGTTTTTGTGTGTATGGTCATTCACTAGTTTTTTGCAGAAGATTTTTTAAGTAGATCTGATTTTACTCATTTGAATACAGGGTTCTTTTGAAAAGGAACTGACTGTATCATTCTGGTATTCATGATAGGCTTTCTTTGGTCATTGTTTAGAGTCTCAAGCCCTGATCATATCTTTCTTCCAATTCCAAATTGGGAGCACAAGGAGAACCCTGAGACTGAAGAAGATGTTGGGCCAGTTGTTCAGCACATCTATGAGGTCTGCAGCTCTCAGGTTTAGTGGGTTCTGATGGGAACAACAAAGAGAACAGCTAAGCTACGTTTCTGATGGGAACAACAAAGAGAACAGCTAAGCTACGTTTACAGAACAATTCTGTGTAATTTTTATGTAAACTCTGCATAGCTTAAGTATGTACCATCGATTTCATTGGAATTTTCCCCACTTAGGAGTTCATTTGTATTAGATCAGTAGCTTTGTGTTTAACAAAAGCAACTGATATAATTTGTTATTTAAAACCAATGAGTTCTACTTGAATAAAAGAAATGGGTAACTCAGAATTTTCTCATAGACATTTTGCAGGTCTGTCTGAAAATTGAAAATGCCTGTAGTAAACAATCAAAATTTTATTTCTACAGGGAAAAACATTTTAAATTATTCATCAATAACTCTTTAATATTTAATTCTTGTTTATTTTTTAATCCTCATACATATTACTCTAGTTTGAGAACAAAAATACTGAGCTTGATCTTTTTGCATAAGGCTGTCGTTAAAATTCAGAGTCTAACTGTAGAATTCTGCTGATATTCAAATCCTATTGTTTATATGATTTCTAAAGTTGAAGGAAAAGGGTGATAGAATAGATTCTTGCCCAAGGTATTTACAGTTTCTTTTCCTTATTAGCTGAGAAACAATGGCCCAAGTTCATTCAGCAAGGCAATGCTCAATCTTCAGTGGCCCTACAAATATAACAACAACACTCTGTTGTACATCCTTCATTATGACATTGATGGACCAATGAACTGCACTTCGGACGTGGAGATCAACCCTTTGAGAATTAAGGTAATGTGCTAAATGCAGCTCTTCATTATAATGTTGTTTTACTCCTGTCTTTCTAGACCTGTAAATTAACTAAACTGTTTGAATACACAGACTCTACAAAAAGGTTTTAGATCATAACCAGTACTCTAAGAATTGGGGTATCTGTAGAATGGGTCAGAATCAATTCTCTGAAGTCCTAATGAACTGTGTATTTGTGGAGTGTTTGGTAAGCGTCAGGAGAGTCTGAAAGGACACAGTTTGACGTTGGCTCCATTAAAGTTTGTAGTAGTGTGTAATATGACCTTAGGCTGTTGTGTGTTGGAATTTCTGTTTTTGGAATGAGGATGGACCATTTTACTTGGACTGTTGTCTTACATGACCTAGGAAAATGTCATTTGATAGAATTATATATATTTTGGATATGAACTCTCCATCCTAGTATGTATATTTGCATAAGAAACTGTTGCCCAGTATTATCTAAGGAAAGTTAAAACAATGACCTAGGGGCCGGGGATTTAGCTCAGTGGTTTCGCCGCCTGCTGTGCAAGCGCAAGGACCCAAGTTCGATCCCCGGCACCAAAAACAAAAAAACAAAAAAACAATGAGCTAAACATATATTCGTACTCACTACAGACATGCTGTGGAATCTCAGGCTTTCGTGTACGTTTTTGTCATCTTCCCTTAAGACTCTGCAATATGAGAAAGTCATGGCTCGGGAGAGCTCACTTTTTTGGGACAACTTAAGGAGTCTAATCTTTATTTTCTGTCCTTATCATTCACTGTATATTGAGTGATGAATTTTCTACCCCCTCAAATTGCATATGCCATTGGTTTATCGTATATAGGGGTTTGGGTGAAGGTACCAATGTAAAATGTCTTCCATCGTGACTTACCATGTGGTTTGCCACTGCAATCCAGATCTCATCTTTGCAAACAACTGAGAAGAATGACACAAGTGCTGGGCAAGGCGACCGGAGCCATCTCCTCACCAAGCGGGACCTCGTCCTGAGTGGGGGAGAAGTTCACACTTTGGTAAGTGCCTTTCCCAGGATGTGCGGTAGAAACATTCAAAATATGTGGCTGCAGGACTGATGCCAAAGAACTTCTCAAAAATAACAGCAGCTGTGCTGAAAAAGAACTACATTTATTTTTATACTGTTCAGTCATCCTGCCTTCCTTTTTTCTAGTCAAATTAGTGCCAGATTTTCAAACCATCTCTTCTATGGACTGCTGATAGAAATATTTTTATTCTTTTTTTATTTAAAATGTATAACTTTATTATCATTCACTAAACACACACATATACAAAAATTAAAATTATTCAAAGAAAAGCAATGGAAGGGGAAAAAATACTATAATAATATTCAAATATAATAGAAGTCAACCAAAGCAAAACTGAAGACTACTTAAACATTTTTCCACATAATTTAAAAAAACATCTCAAGCATTAACAAGACATCAGAAGATATGATTTGTTTTAGAAAGATTCTCAAAACTAATATTGAACAAAAGTTGTCTGGAGAAAAAATTCCAATTAACTAGTAGACTCCACATAGGCCAAATTTTTTTACATTTAAATTTCGATATAGTAATGTGACATGTGATGAAAATATAATCTGAGACATATGTTATTAGGCAATTTCATCGGTGTGTATCGCAAAGTACCACACAGAGTGCCAACTTCTAAGTGCAAACTGAGAAGGTATACGTCAATCATCTGTGATGGCCCCTTGATATTATCCACATACACAGTTAAACCCGGGATACATGAGGCTACCACTGGCATAGCAGCACACTGTTTTACAGTAAGCTCTTTTGTATAAGTAGAGTTATGCTCTAAAGGAAGAAAAGCACAGCATGTTATGATAAGTACCTAAAACAGTAACAGTCATCACACTATCGAGTACTGTGTACTGTGTACATAGCTATATGTGCTTCTTCTGGAAACATACCCTTCTCTCGTTTGATCTCAGTGACTCTTCCTTCTCAACCCACTGATGAGCTCCAGCCTAGTCTTGATCTACGTCTCTTCCTATAGTTTTATTTTTTTTTTGGTACCGGAGATCGAACTTGGGTCCTTGCCCTTGCACAGCAGGCAGCGAAACCACTGAGCTAAATCCCTGGCCCCATCTTCCTATAGTTTTAAACACAATCTATATATGTATTCTTTCCAGATTCCAGCCTGTAACTCTGATCTCTCCCCTTCCCCTCCTGCCACCCCTACCCCTTTGAACCTTTTCTTCGAATTTCAAATTATCAATTATTCATTTTAATCATTTTAATCCTTATTTACACTTTCAGTTTCTCAACACTAGAGAAACTCTTCGGTATTTGCACATGTGTGTCCTATTTCTTTCACTTAAGAGGATGGCCTCAATATGCATCCATTTAGCTAAAAATGACTAGTTTCTCATAATAGAAATATTTTATGTTCCAACTTGTTTTTTTTTCACTTCCTTTACCTGACCTCTTTCTGAACTGAGAAGCCCCTAGCAAAAACATATTAGAAGAATAATTAACATTATGATTAACTACTGTTGAGTCATACTAAGCAGTGACTTTATCCTCTAACTTTTTGGAAATTAGCAGATCTGCCACCTATCACTGAGGAGAGAGCCTGGTGTTGTGTTCATGTTAAGTAGAATCACGAGTTACTGTTTCACCTCCAAACTGTGTGCTCCCAACTGCTCATCCAGTTCAGCCACTCAGTGATGTTAGCTCTCAACCCATTCTCCACCTTCTGCCTCGAGCTTCTTAGTTTCCATTTTCTGACCTTTAACCTCAGATTGTCCCAGGGCTCAGGGCTCAGGGCTCAGGGCTCAGGGCTCAGGTATCTTCTCTGCTTCTCCTATGTCCCCTTTCTAGATCTGTGCTGTCTGGGATCAGGAATCCAGGCCTATCTCAGGGGTTCAGCAGCCACACAAGGCTGGAGGGCACCTGAGCGTGTGGTGTTGCCACCTCCGCATGGACAGTTTCCATCCTGGTAGAGTTCTCCGGGCGGTGCTGCACCACACGATCTGAATGAGTCTCATGGCTCTCAGTACTGTCTGGTGCAGAGGACTTCGGTGTTTATTTCCAGCCCGATCCTCTGCATGGAACTCCAGCCTCTTAACTGCCCACTGGAACTCCTCCCAAATAGGAAATTGCAAACTTAATTCTAAAGTGATACCTTGAGCTTTCCCAACTCTACTCTCTCCACAGTCATCTACATTCAGTAACTCTCAGCTCCGTTCTCTAGAACTTGCACCTTCCCTTTCTCTCAAATCCCACAGCCTACCTCTCAGCAAATCCTACCAGTATGGACTTTCCAAAATGCCCAAGACCTGACCCCTTCTCACCAGCTCTGCCAGTGTCACCTCACCTGGCCACCTCTTCTCTCACTGGACTTGCCAAGCCCCTCCTGTCACTGCCTTTCTCCGCGTGCAGTTCATTTACCATGCAGAAGCCACAGCAGTTCTTTGAATATAGGTCAAGTCACGTCATCTAACTAAAAACGTAGCCAGAGCGAACAGTTATCTCGAAGTCCAACCTGACCCAGGCCTTTCCTGCTTCTGTCTGCATCATCTCTCCTTTCTCATGGTGTTCCTCCCATTTCCCACTCTGCTTTTTATTGAGCAGACAGCCCCCGGCATGCTTGTGTCGCTAGGCTTTGAAAAGTGCCCCTCTGTCGCCTGGAGCACTCTGTGTCCCACTCTCTGTCCGTCTCTCCCTGTGGCTGGCTCCCCCACCTCCTTCTGGTGTCCATAAATGACAGATCATAGCAGAGGGCATCCCTGACCAACCCATGTGAAATAGCAACCACCTTCCACTCCACCTCCAAGCCCACTTTTTCTTTCTTTTTTTTTTTCTTGGTACCAGGGATCAAACTCGGGTCCCTCCGCTTGCAAGGCAGGAGGCGGAACCACTGAGCTAAATCCCCGGCCCTCCAAGCCCGCTTTTGATCCTGCATCCCCTAGCCTATAGGATTATTTATTTCAAAAATTAAGATAGGGGCTGGGGATTTAGCTCAGTGGTTCCGGCGCCTGCCTCAAAAGCACAAGGTCCCAGGTTCGATCCCCGGTACCAAAAAAAAAAAAAAAAAAAAAAAAAAAATTAAGATAAAAATTTACCATGCAATCATTTCCAAGTATATAATATAGTGGTTTTTAGTATCTTTACAAAACATTTCTATGATGCCAAAAAGAAATGCCATGCCTATTAAGAAGTTACTTCCCATTCTCTTCTCCTACCAGCCCCTGGTCACCACTGCTCTGCTTCTAGGCCCTACTGCTTTGCCTACTCTAGACATTGATACAATAGGTGTCCTGTGGCTTCTTTCACTTAGCATATCATCAAGATTCGTCCATGTTTTAGCATGTGTTAGTACTTGATTCATTTTTACAACTGGATAGTATTCCATCACGTGGACACACCACTCATCATTTTGGTGGAGATTCTTTTTGTCTCTTTTGAATAGTGTGCATGCCATTGTGGACATGCATGCAAAAGTTTCCTTGGGAATAAACCAAGCAGTGGGATTGCTGGGGTCATATGGAAACTCTGTGTTTAGTTTTTTAAGAACTGTTTTCCATGGGCCAGGGATTTAGCTCAGTGGTTCCGTTGCTTGCCTTGCAAGCACAAGGACCCAAGTTCGATCCCTGGTACCAAAAAAAAAGAACTGTTTTCCAAACAAGCAATGTAAGACAGTTGCAATTTCTCTACATCCTTTCCAATAATAGTTATTGTCTGCTTTTGTTTGTTTATAGTTATCCCAGTTCGTGTGAAGAGATATTTCATTGTGGATTTGATTTGTACCTATTAACTGCTGATGTTGAACATCTTTTCATTTGTTTATCTTCATTGGAGTTTCAAATTCTTTGCCCACTTTTAAATTGGGTTGTTTTTTATTGAGTTGTAAAAAGTTCTTATATAGTCTAGCTATTACTCTTATCAGATATATAATTGCATATATTTCTTTTCATTCTGTGTGACTTTTTTCATTTTTTTGATAGCATCTTTGATGCACAAAAGTTTTTAAATATTTGTTACTTAAACTTTTGTTGTTATATTTTTAAAAGAACGTCTTTTAAGCCAAGATCATGAAGCTTTACACTTAGGTTTTCCCGTTGTCTAATTTTGACACATAGCCCTTACATTTACAGCTTTGCTTCATTTTGAGTTTATTTTTGCCTGTGGTGTGAGGTAGGGGCCCAGATTCATTCTTTTTTTTTTTTTTTTTCCAGATTCATTCTTTTGCTTATGGTTACTTCATTTTCCTAACATCATTTGCTGAAAAAACTGTTTTCTCTCCCCCTTAAATTGTCTTGGCGCCCCGTTGAAAACAAATTAACAATAGATACAGTTTTATTTCAATTCTGTTTGGTAAAATTATTATTGATATATATTAGTTGTCCCAACTAATGAAATTCGCTGCATGCTTCCACACATGCATGCATCAGTCACATCCATCTGCCTTCCTTCCACTTCCCCCACCTGCCCCCATCCCTAATAATCTCTCTTCTGCTTTCAGGTCAACTTTTCCTTTTCCTGTCATTTCAATTTCGTTGTCCTGTAAGTGCATTCTTATGCCAGTACCGAAATTGTTTTTCATTACCACAGCTCAGTAGTAAGTTTTGAAATTGGAAAGTGTGAATCATGTTCTGGTTTTTCTTTTTCAAGAGTGTTTGGGCTATGTGGTTCCTTGCAGCTCACATGAATCTGAGGATCGGCTCATCCATTTCTTCAGAAGAGGTGGTTGGACTTGGGATAGTACTTTTGTTGAGTCTGACTACGAATTTGGGGAACGTTGCTGTCTTAACAATATTGCGTCTTTCCGTCAGTGAACACAGGCTTTCTATTTATTTAGGTCTTCTTTAATTTCTTTCAAAAGTACTTTGTAGTTTTCAGTATACTAGTTTTATACTTCCTTAGTGATATTATTTCTATGTATTTTTCTCTTTTTGATGCTGTTTTAAATAGATATTTAATTTCCTTTCTGAATTTTTAATTTCTAGTGATGAAACAAAAACTCATATCTGTATAGTGATGTTCCCCCCTTTTCGTGCTGGTTTATTAGTTCTTTATTAGTTCTAGTATGGATTATTTAGTGTTTTCAATATAGAGGACCCTGTCATCTGCAAAGACATAGCTTTTCTGTATCCCCTTATGATGTCGATGCTGCCTACTTGTACTGTCTAGAACCTTCTGTCAGCGTTGAGTGTCGGTGGCAGGGTGGGCACCTGCATCGTGTTTGGGATCTTAGGGGAAAAGTACCCAGTCTCACCCCATCTTGCATGGATCCCCCTTATGGCTCTGTCCCTCTTCCCACTTTGCGTCCTCTCCGTCAGTTGGTGCTGGACTGCACTTTGTCACGTGTGTGCGTGTGCCATGTTCAGTGTGACCAGTACAGAGAAGGTGATAAATGTTTGTTTCCTTTGACTGCCAACCTTCAGGTCACTGCTAAAATCCCTAAATGTGGTGGAGTCCCCAGCACACTATTTGATTTCTACAGGTTGGCATGGAATGTCAATTAAAACTTCACTCTACTGGGCCAGGGATTTAGCTCAGTGGTTCCAGCAAGGTCCTGAGTTCGATCTCCGGTGCCAAAAAAAAAAAAAAAATTCACTCTACTTACTTTTCTTTTCCACAGAGATGCAGTGGTCTGACTTTCGTATCTTACCGTAATCACCATGCTCTGGGTTTGCTTAAAGAATTTTGAGGTCCAGCTATAAAAATGAATCTTTTAATCTTACAGATTGTTCTTCTATACTAAGTCACATTAAAACCAACCCCTTTTTAACAAAAAGTGTAGACTTGATTGATGAGCCCTTTTAAGCATTATTCCTATAAGACCAAAGGACTGGGATCATCTCTCTTTGGTCTTCACAGAAAAAGAGTCAAATAACATGCCCCATACTCAAAGACAGCAGCGGCGGTAGAGCAAACTTTCCTTGTAAGTGTGCACTTTGCTCTTGCAGGGCTGTGGAGTCGCTCAGTGTTTGAGAATCGTCTGCCAGGTTGGGCGGCTGGACAGGGGGAAGAGTGCGATTCTCTACGTGAAGTCCCTGCTGTGGACTGAGACCTTCATGAATGTAAGTAGGCAGGCTTGGCGCTCAGCAAACAGCCATGTAAGAAGTAAGAAAGGCCTGGCAGCTGGGAAACCATCTCACTGTCCTTTCCACGCAGAAGGAAAACCAGAACCATTCCTACGCTCTGAAGTCTTCCGCTTCTTTCAGTGTCATAGAGTTCCCCTATAAGAACCTTCCCATTGAGGACATTTCTAACTCCACACTGGTAAGTCTAGGATTTAGGGAAGTGCAATAAATGCACTCTGTTGAATGCCTTAGATGATTGTATTTTGTTTAAAAAATGGCTGTTTAGCTCTTCCAATAATTTAAAAGAATAAAGTTATTTGATCGGATTATAACCTTGTGTAGTATTAGTTACTTTACTCCTCTCGTCTAGAATCATTAAAACTAGACCTTGTATTTTTAGCATCTTGACCTTACTAAATTATATTGGGGCTCTTTTAGGATTTTTCCTCCTCATAAAATTAGAAAGTTGGAAACTAACTGCAACAAGTAAAGACATTTTAGAGACGGGTGTATTGGCGCACACTTGTAATCCCAGTACTTGGGGGACAGAGGCAGGAGGATTGCCACAAGTTCGAGGCCAGCGTGGCCTACACAGTGAGTTCAGGCCAGTCTGAACTACATAATGAGACCCCATCTCAAAAAACAAAACAAACAAAAACAAGTGAAGGCATTTTGAAAATTTTCAAGGGTTGAAAATGGAATTAGCCATCCTAAATTGGACTGGATTATTTAAAAGTCTTTTCAGATGCAAGCAGACCTTATCCTTGGTTGGGAGTTTCATGTGTGTCAGTCCATGCTGCGATACCAGTATGTAATCACCGAATAGTCACACGGGAAAAATACAGTGTGAATACCAGTAGAATAAACTTTAATAGGCACTCAAGTATTTAAGCCAGCAAATTATTTTTAAAACTAAACACTTTCCCCCCAACAGGTTACCACCAATATCACCTGGGGGATCCAGCCCACACCCATGCCTGTTCCCGTGTGGGTGATCATTTTAGCAGTTCTCGCGGGACTGCTGCTGCTGGCTGTGTTGGTGTTCGTAATGTACAGAGTAAGTGATGGGCAGAGAAAGAGGGCAGAGGAGAGAGGGGGTGGAATAAAAGAAAAGGGGAGAAGGTGGCAAAGAAGAATGGAAAGAAACAAGGAAGGAGGAAAAGGACCTATTGCGGGCTATGGTAAGACTTTATTATTTGAAGGATGAGAAATTATACCAAGTGCCAGTTAAGTTTTCTTGGTGATAATGTAGTCCCTCAAAAAACATTATTATATCTTCTACTGATGTGAAAATAAGACTGGCATTTTTGCTTCAACTTACAGATGGGCTTTTTTAAACGTGTCCGGCCACCTCAAGAAGAACAAGAAAGGGAACAGCTTCAGCCTCAAGAAAATGGTGAAGGAAACTCAGAAACCTAACCATGACTTTTAAGTTATGCTACATCTCGATTCATCAGGATTAACAACTTGATTATAAATTTAAAATTTCTTCATGAGGAATAAGATTCCAGACGGGACTGCTGATGATACCCAGTGGCCTCAGTTTAACCACAAAATTGAGAGCAATGTCTGTCAACCTTCTTTTTATAAATAAGTTCAGACATACATGTAATATGTATACACTGACTTCTATTTTTAGAGATTTAAATAATGAAATTTTAAGCAATGATTCTCATTCACAACATAAACCAGGGAGTGCCTAGTTACTACTTGATATAAAACAGTGCTTCCTTCAATTACTGCTTCTGAGCTAGCGTGTGGCTTTTCACTGTTTGTTGTTGTAGTTTGAAAGCAGTCCACCCCTGTACCTTAGCCCAGTCAGTTGTTGTACAGGGCCTCAGTGCTGATACACATTACACTACAGTTCACTTTTCAAGCTACTAAAGACTTTATAACTGTGTGAAATTGGGTTTTAGTACCATGTATAGGTAGAAGTTTTTAAAAACTGTGCTACCATCAAAATTCCTCCCTGGAGGATGGAGGTTTATTTCAGGGGCTGAGCACTTACTCAGCATGGCCACAGCCTGAGTTCAGCCCCCAGCACTGGGAAAAATGATTTCTTTCCCATAATAGCCACGGTACAATATTTGAATATGAAAAACTGGGTACATGGTATTAAATTTTTATTTATATTTAATCTGCAATCTGTTTTATGACACTTGTATAATTTAAGTTCTCCATCATCGTTTAAACCATCTTATATTAAAAATTAATTCTATAATCAAAAATGGCTTTTCCTGTGTAGTAGTTTAATTTCAGCTAAATATGTTTAAAGCTATATGGAGTTGGAAATTGTTTCCAAACTACTTCTAGTCCATTGTTTTCGTCTGGTTATTTACAATTCAAAAAAGGAAGCATTTTAATTAAAAATTTGTGCTTGTAGTTCTTTGATATAATTGATTTTAATAGTATTTTCTTACATTAGAGCAGAGATTTAGTTGGTATTACTTTATTTTCCTCTTGCATCTGTATTTTTTCTTATACTTCTGAAACTTACTGAGAACAGGTTGAGATCATTTTTGTAACATACGGGAGCTTGGGGCCCCACTCTCGCTGCATGGAAGGTACTGGGGGTCTGAGTTATGCGGAAGCTCCCTGGTTTCCTTCTAGCCCTAGCACGATGCCACTCACGTGGCTGGTACCTCAGTTTAAGCAAAGTAACATGCAAAACCAGTCTCAGCTATCAGAGTAAATGCAAAAAGTTATTCTTACAGGCAGTTCAACTTACTGAAAACCTTTTAAAGCTTTCTTAGGTTTTTAACATAAATTACTTCTCTAGGGTTTTTAATAAAGCATAGGTGGCAAGTCATAGTTTTATATGCATGGAATATGTGATTTATTCGCAGTTCTCAAGGTCTAGGAATGACTATCAATTATGCCTACTTTTGTCCAATTGCATCATGTTGTGCACAAGAAATTGAGAGTTTTATAGCTTTTTAACTGCCATCCTCATTAGGCAATGATAAATATTTCCCTTAAATAATTTGACTATTTTTCTATGTTTTGAAAATAATTGACATTTATCTTGTGCTATAATTCCATGTACAAGGGGCTGAGCTAATCTGGAGAATATTGTCATAAAATAGAAGCGCATTTACACATCTGAGTTGCATAAATTAGAACATAGAAAGACCCTATATTTAGCTTTAGTGAATTTTAAAATTAATGGATTTCAGAGTGTAGAATTTATTAGTAGCTTGAAAGATCTTAATCATACGCAATAAGTATTTTTATCATCAATAAATTTAAATTCTTTTAAGAAAAATATATTTTTATCTTAGGGCCACCAGACAGTCACTAAATGGGTCTATGGCAAGTTTTACCTTATCTGTTTTCCTTTGTAATAGCTTTATTCCTGAAAATATCCATCAGATGGAAATTCACTCTTGGACAAAAGTGTCAATATTTCGTTTTGCACTGTGTATTACTTTTATGGCCTGTGTACCAAGGAATAACCTATTGAGATTGAAATATGTTATAATTGGCAATTAACAAGATGTTTTAAATTGCCTTTATAAAGGATAGTTTTAAGTAATGGTAGAGATTTTCCTTTCAAAATATGAAAATATTTCTCTCAATAAATATATAGAGTATAACTTGAAACTCTACTCTCTGAGGAAAATGCTGAGGTTCTTTTTACCTTAAAGTAATGTATAAATATCTTTGACTAAATATCAAAAAATAGTTTTATGAAATCTATTTTAATTGCTCAACATTTTCAAATCGTACTGTACTTGTGATTTATTGAGATTAATATTTGAAGTATAAAATTCTCATAATTCAGTTTTATAAAAATGAGTGAGCTAATGCCTATTAAAAGCATTTGAGATAAGTGAGAAATTCTGATACTAACACTGATTTCTTATAGAAGTATTTATTTCAGAATTGATATTTTGGGAAACATTTGTGTGAGGATCATTTTTCTTCTCTTTATTTTCTCTTATGATTAATTGTCATCTTAATTCTGATTAAAAGTTCTTAGTGATTCTGAAAAGCAAAGCAAAGCAATTTTTCCAAATAACATTGCCATAGTGCTGTTATGAAATTACTTATTCATAGTTAATTCTCATGAATGCAATCCTTTATATTTATATAAGGAGAAATTTCAAATGCTAGTGAAAGAGACTTTACTGGCTTCTTTACAAGAGTGTGAAAGATTTTTGACAGTAAATCATGACCCTAAGGGAGAGTTAGGTGGCAAAAATGTAGTATATAATGGATTGGCTGGTTTTTGTAAGCAAACAGAATGTGTAAATCAATACATATTCCTGTGTTGCAGAATATATTGATGAGCCTGTTGGAGATGGGTGAGGCATTCTTGGGAGTACCTGTGTGTGGCTATTACCTATTAGTGTCACCTTGATTGTACTTATGGATAGCTTATCTATGTAGTTATTTGATAACTAAAAAAAAAACCCCAAATTGTTTTTGGGATCCAAAAAGGTAAATAAAATTACTAAATACTCAGTGCTTTGAAAAATGTCCCTTTTAACTTGTTGCATGGCTAATTTGTATAATGAACCTGTGAATGGGCAGCATACATTGTGTACTTGCATTTGTTTGTAATTTCTGTTACATAATGACTTTCTTGGGACAGGTACTGAATCTTTTATTTTTGTTGTCTTTGTTCTCCAGTGCAATATAACAATCTAACAAAAACCTAGATAATATCAAAGTCATCATTAATTCAGTAAACCTATTCTAAACTGAGATTTATTAGTATTTTTGATAGCAGGAAAGAGTGATTCTGCTGTGGATATACAAGTGCAGTTATTTACCCCTAAATGGTCCATTCTGCATTCTATTTCAGGCTGGACATGAACTATGCCTTACCAGCTTTGAAACACTTTCAAATATCTAAAGACAAGTTGGAAGCTGTGTATGTCAAATTAATTTGCTACCTAGGTAACAGAGGGAGCAATTATCTTTGTTTAGCTTCTCTTGTGGTCACCCACATTGGGTGGGACATCAAATGAGTCTGTTCTCCAATCTGCCATTTGCTAACTTGGATTAAGTTAGTGAAAGCTGCTCCGGGGCTCTGCTTGGTTTCCGATGTGTAACTTGTGACTGTACAATAAATTTGAGCAAATGGTGTCACCTCTGTGCATGGACTTTATCATTTCGTTCTGTTGTGTTTTGCATTGATTGTTAATCACATAAACCAGCAACTGTGCACCAAATGTGTGACCCTCAGTGCAGTGACATACCTCTCTACAAGTTAAAAGCATCAGTCATTTGAAGAAAGAAAGAAAGAAAGAAAGAAAGAAAAAAAAAAAAAGGGAAGGGAACCTAATGTTAAAATACCTGCCAAGGGCTGGGGATTTAGCTCAGTGGTTCCAACGCCTGCCTCGCAAGCACAAGGCCCCAAGTTTGATCCCCAGTACCAAAAAAAAAAAACCACATAAAATACCTGCCGAGAAAAGTAAATATGTATTTGCTTGAAATCTCAGAATCGTTTGATTTTTAAACAATTATTTCTTTTATCACACTAATCTTTGTATTTTCACCTTGTTAGATTACTTTTAAAATAACATGTTTTGTGTTTCATGACTTTTTACACATCTGCAGTTCTAGAAGTTGAATATTCCTAATCCAGAAACCCCAGTGCTCCAAAATCTAGAGCCTTCTGAGCAGGATGTCAGCTTTACTGAACCAAAGAGGTTTACGCAGATATTCCAAAAGCTGAAAAACTCAAAGTCTGAACCACATCTGATCCCAGGCCTTTCAGATAACGGAAATTCAACCTGTATTAAAAGTTCTATGTGGGCCAGGGATTTAGCTCAGTGGTTCCACCACTGCCTTCCAATCACAAGGATCAGAGTTTGATCCCTGGTACCAAAAAAAAAATAAAAGTTCTATGTAAATGTTTGAGGAGAGAAACGTGTTAAACCTGATTTAAACACATTATTGTCAAAACATCACGTTACCCCTGAAAGATGCAGTTTTTACATTTATGTTCCAGTAGTCACATACGGTTAGTGATACAAAATGGCAAAAAATGCTATAGACTTCATAGTTTATTAAAATGAATTCATAGATAAAATATTTGTTCAAAGAAAGCGTTTCATTACTTTACAAATAGATTGGTTAATTACAGTGTTATTTTGAATAAGATATTAGATTGTCTTTCTGTTTGTTTTACCCAACAAAAGCTCTTATAGGAGATCATTTTGTTGAAAAGTATTTTATTTTATTCCAAATACAACTTAAAATTGATGATGTGATATAAGAACAAATATTATATATACCTATTTTTGAAGTACATTTTCTTTCTTTCTTTTTTTTTTTTTTTTTGGTACCAGAGATTGAACTCAGCACCTTGTGCTTATTTTCTTCAAAATGCAGTCATTATCCATTGGTCTTTTGAGGGTTTTGTTTATGCACTGTGCCTCTCTACCACACTCTGTAGGTTTACCAGCCCTTGCTGCTACTTTAAAACAACTACTTTGCTGTGGAACACTTAGGTACAAAGTAACAACTTTATGTTGCCTTTGATGACTATGCTTACTTTGCATGACAGAGTGGGCCCCTCAGAGAGAAAGCAACAGTCAATTTTTTCCAACTGCTGCATCTTTGTGTAATAGTAGTTGTTCTGTTAATTTTTTAATTGACTTTTTTGGTCATTTAAAAAAATGGAAGGAAAATATAAAAATAAGTGTAGTGACAAGAACAGATTGGAGGGCCAGGGATTTAGCTCAGTGGTTTCGCAGCCTGCTGCCCAAGCGCAAGGATGCGAGTTTGATCCCTGGTACCAAAGAAAACAACAACAACAACAACAACAAAAAAGGAACAGTGGTCAGGACAGGGGAAGAGGGAAACTGCACATCGAATTAAATGCAATCTTGGGACTGAGGACAGGGTCGCATTTGTAAAAGAGCATGAGAGGACTGGAAAGGCAGCTTCTCAATGCCATCAACAGTCTATTTTCTGAACTCCTTTTATTTCAGTAGAAATCAGTGACACCATGTTGTTACTTCCGTGCAATTTCTCGCACATCTCAACACTGCTTAATCTTTTTCTCTGTGCATCTCATTTATAAAAATAGGCATTTTGGCCAGGGATTTAGCTCAATCGTGCTGCCGCTTGCCTCACAAGCACAAGGTCCTGAGTTCCATCCCCAGTACCAGAAGGAAAAAAAAGGCATTTTGTTGTATGATAAACAATTCACTTAACTCCCTTCTCCAACAAACTTGTATTTTAACATTTTCATACAGCTTCTTTAAATTTAACACATTGTTTCTAACGACTCTAATGTTCTCCAGAAGTCAAATCTCTCTGTCCAATGGGGCACTGCCTGTCCTCTTTCTGGTGCCCTCCCTGGTGCATGGAGGTGGCCCACTGCTGGCCAGAGGTTCCCTTCTCATGCGTCTGTGATTGGCCTCCATGTCCAGAGGTGTTGCTTAGGCCCTGTCCTTTACTGTCGCTTTTACACCAGCCAGGCCTGTAACTGTCCTCACCTATCCTTAGTTGGTGAAGAAATCAGAATACTTTCCACAGTGATGCACAAGGCCTCCACAGGAAAACAGAAGTGACCAGTGTTGATAAATGGATACAGCTAGAGCTTGGACTTGCTTCATCAATGCCATTAGCAAATAAAACTTCTTGCCACAAACAATGTGTGGTTTGGGGCTCCTCTTCTTTTTTTAAGGAGCCCCCAAATATATAAACATTCCATTTCTGAATTTAAAATGTAGTATCTTTTATTATTCCACACCTTTTAGAAGTTTTAAACACTGTTACAGTAGCAGCATTTCCTAGTTCTTTAATTTTGCTATTTCCCCCCCCAATTATGAAAATAGCTAATCAGTCAGATCCAGTGGCCCAAAATTTGCCATTTGCTTAGATTCCAATTTGTTCTTTTTTTTTTTTTTTTGGTACCGGGGATTGAACAAGGCAGGCGCTGGAACCACTGAGCTAAATCCCCGGCCCTGACCACTATTCTTGACATTTGGGTTCTAATTAAGTGTAAAATGTATAGTACCTACACAGGGTAAGGATGCAGGTGCTATCAATATGAAAACTATAAAATGGGTAGAGACTTTTCTGTCCAGGCTGAATTAGCTAGTTGTTCTTTAGGATCACATGATGTAAAATATAGTGGACCCTCAAGTTAAGACCGGCCTGACATATGAACAATTAGGTTAATTAGGTTAATGGAAGATTCATCTGCCTCTTGTTATCTATAGGGTATACCCAGACAAACATCCATATCTCATGTGTATTGACTTACAACCAACCTGAGTTGCAACCAGCCCTCAGGAACCCATAGGGTTAGTAAGTCAGGGGTCCACTGTACATGAAATAATTTTAAAAGTGTTGCAATCACTTGGGTTCAAAAGTCTGCCCTATCACAAGCCTTACCTCTTAAGAAGTATTGATCTTAAAGGTTGTTAGGATTTTATGACAAAACACAAGAGAGAAGGCTATCAAAGCCTTGTAGTAGTAAGTGCTTACCAAATCCACGCCATTCAGTCTTGCCACCATCCTCTTTATTAGTTTGAGAATTATGAGCAGTGAACTTCTCTTTTCCCAGGTTAATTTAAAAACATTTCTGAAATTTACAATGGTGATAAATCATGAATAAGCCAAGCCATTAATTAGAATTATTTCCAAGGAGGCTTGGAATAACACAAAATTCAATCACCTATAGCCATGTTGGTAAGAAATAATAGAAAAGTTTATTTTTTGGAAAAAGAACTGAGCGGTTTTATATTTTGAGGGGCAAAAGCATTTTAAAAGGCCAAGTTGTTGATAGGAATGAAGGCGAAATTCCAGAGCAGACCCAGGACATTTTAGGCAGAAGGAAGAAGCAGCAGGATTAGCACCAAGAGACCGCATAGAACAGGCCCAAGGAACGATTTGGATTAGGAGCAGAGTCATAAATTGGCAACCAATGGCCTTCTGTGTTTTGTTTGGCCTACAAAGTATTTTAAAATACATAACCTGGCAACATTAATGAATTAGAGAAGTTTACTCAAAAGACCAAGATTGCAGCTTCTAAAAAACTGCAACTTCCGGAGGGCCCGTTCTTGCACGGATACAGACCTGGAGCTTAGTCTCGCTTGCTCTGAGACGGCCAGCAAGTTTTAGGTGACCACAAACCCCAGAGGGACTTCTAGGTCCTCACTGCTCATTTGCCTAATTTGCCTGACCACTCTAGGAAGTGGACGAAGCAGCTCTTCCTGAAATGATAAATGAGTCCATGTTAGCTTTCCATCCACAAAATACCTAAGACGATGAACTTAGAAAAGGGTTATTTGGAGTCCTGGTTTTAGAAGTTTCAGCCCATGATTGTCGCAGTTTCTTCCGGCCTGTGGTGAGGCAAAGGGAGTGACCCCGTGAACAGCAAACAAAAGAAAAAGGAGGAGGCAGGGCCCAGGGTTCCCTTCAGGGCCCTGAGCCCGGCCCCAAGGGAGGCCCCTGGAGACGAAGCCTTTAACATTTTTGTCCTTGCGGGACATTCAGCATCCAAGCTGTAGTGAGATGAGAATTACCTGATCCATCTGCTGCAGCCAACACTCTGGCCAGGTTTCATCCAAAATATCCTCTCTATTTGATCGTTTGCATGCAAGTGAGATCTGAAAACAAGGCATGTTGATCCCAGATACTCTAATACTTTAACATGATTGACTGCCCTGATTTGATAAAGAAAGATTATATAAATTTTGGGCCCAAGAGTAAAATCCTGGTCATTTAAATTTTAAAGGGGGTTTCAGATTCCAGTAGTGGCAGAATCCTTGGCTCAGGTGACAATGGTAAATTCTGAACACAGTGGGAGAACAAGACAGAAATCCTTTGAAGGCAGAAGGCAGGCACTTCCCCCTTGAGGCTGCTCCCCGCTGTGTGTATAGACTTTCTTGGAAAGATGGGGTGGCCTCCTAGGCTAGAAATCAAATCGAGGGGTGTGTCATAGGTACTTAATCGGTTAGACAAGAGGCCTGTCCCCTGATTTTTCCTATAATCCACCTCGAGTTTTTGACTTCTCTTTGATGTCTGAGTCGCATACTTAGCCTCCTGAAAAAAAACAAAACTTCCTGAGATATGATTTTGGACAGATTCTGTTTTTGTTTTCTCTACGGCAAATTTTCTTAATGGTG